GACGCCTATGTATTATGCAAATATATACCGTGCTCGCTTGCTTGCCAGAATGCTAGCAAAGCTTGCCTGAAATAATTTTCTTCAGGGCCAGAAGGTAAAGATTAGGAAACCACCTGAAACTGCTTAAAACCCATTAAAGCTGCCTGAAGACACCTCTGGGGACCCCAGCAGGAACTTTTCTCATTATCCCCTCATTATTATACTGAAATCTCCACCCCAGGCACAGCTTACCTGCAGCTTTTCTGTACATTATGCATGTATAGCCCCGTTCATTTACTGTGCATGTTTACCTCGAAACATACCCCAACATGCTATGAGGTAAGCAACTCGCCCTGTAAAGCCTTCGGTCCTTTCTGTTAGGAGAGACACTGCTTTGGAACATCCCTAGTGAGCTCCCTCACCGCTGGCCTGTGATAAGTTCCCACTCGCAAAGTCAACTTGGTGTGCTCGTTTGGCTGACACCCACCAAGTGGCTGATCCCCAGTTCAGTTTGGTAGCAAAAGAGTGGCTAGAGATGTGAGAGAATTAGGAAGGTGCTAGCACAGAAGGGTTGAAACTTTTGAGGGCTTTCGGTGCTAAGTTTTTTGGTCATTTTAAAGTTTTTGTAGGTAAATTGCTTTACCATTATCTTAGAGTGGGTATCATTACTAGAGAATTTTTGGATGAAGCCATGAAAAAAGTGCAGGCAGTATCTGTGATTTGCCAACTAAGTTAAAAGAAACAAAATATCATTCTTTGAAATTTGAGTATGTATATATATGATGAGAAATTCACAAAATATTTGAAATGGGCAGTGGCAAACATATTTACAAACATAGACTCTAAAACCTTGCCCTAATTACAATCCTGAGAGAATGTATAGTGTTGTAGAGAGAGCAAAATATCAGAATCAGATAGTCTTGGGTCAAACTCAACGACCCTGATAAAGTTGTTCATGATTGAGACGCCTCAGTGTTTTCTTCTTCAATATCTCTGAAATCACATCACTAAACCAATAATAGCATCTATTGTTGTGATACTTAAACGGGACAATGTCTATGAAGTACCTTGAACAGGGTCCAAAGCATAGTAAATATTATCACAGCAGGATTGTTTTATGATTTTTATCATGTCCCTTTTGCAGTTCTCCTTGTACCTTAGTTTTAACACCAGATGGCAGCAATGCTCTTAGCCAGTTTAAATGAAAATTGCTAACTGGAATGGATGAGATCAGCCAAGGCTTACCCAATAGGAAGATATGTGTAAGTCACCAGAAAAGCAGGGGGAAAGAGATCATGGATAGAAATAGAGAAAAGGAGGAAAGGGAGAAGGAGGGAGGGAGGGAAAGGAGAGAGAGAGGTATAGGTAGGTTTAGTAATAATTTGACATTTCAAAAAAAAAAATACTGAAATAGTAACTATGAGGGGGAAAAACCAGGTTTTTATTGGATATTCTTCTACCTTCTGTAGGATTCAGTGTTATTTTTGTTTTTAAATACCTGTGGGGGAGTGGTGGTTATCATATATTTTCTCTGTTGACAGTTTTTAAGGATCTTAACTGGTTCTGGATGAAATTTAGTTAAATGAGCTCTTGCCCAGAAAATGTAAATCATAATGTTTTGTTGTTCATTTTAACCAAACTATTATTCTCAAAATTATTTAAATATATGGCTGTTTTGCTCTGTGCAAAATATTTCTTCTACAGTAAGACACAATGGTATATTAGGTACCTATTGTCCTGTTAAAAATACCCCAAAGGTTAGTGGTTTGAAACAATAGACAGTTACTATCTTCTATTTTCTGGGGGCCAGGAATCCTGGAGCAGCTTAGCTAGGGGGCTGGCTCAGTGCCTCCCATGAAGTCTCAGGGCAGAAACTGGAGCTGCAGTCAGCTGCAGGCTTGACTGATCCCTGCTACTTCCAAGATCCAACGCATGCGGTTAGTGTCAAGGGGCCTCAGGTCTTCACCAGTTGTTGGCTAGAGACCTGGATTCCTTTGCCAATGAATTTCTCTAAAAGGTGTCTTGTCTTCTCAAATGGCAGCCGACCTCCTTCAGGGTAAGGGAGCCAAGAGAGGCTGAAGAAAGGAGCCCCCACCCCCTTTCTGACCTTGTCTCAGAAGTTGTACTCTGTTACTTCACCATATTTGCTCAAAGTGAGTCACATAGGAAATGACTAAACACAATGGTCAGGAATCATGTACCTATAATTGGAGTTCCCACATGGAGAAATCACAGGCTGTCTGATCTCTCCGTGTGGCGCTGGACCCCTCCCATCCTCTCTCTGGGTCTTGATTTCTTCATCTGTAAAGAGAGAGCAGGCTGACAATCCCGGTTCCACTTCAGTTCTAAGGAGGCCTCTTTCTGCCCCACCTGTTTGTGACCTCAGCCACTTGGTCTCTGTTTTTCCATCTCAAATGAAGTGATCTTACACAGCAGTTTTCAAACTTTTTAGACCCGCTCTAAGAACTATATGTTACACTGAAACTGTACACACACACACACACACACACAGATATTTCTGAGTGCATACGTATAACAAATGAAAGTTCCACAAAACAATACTTCTTTACCTGATGTACTTTCACGCCCCCCTTCTATGCTAATTTATTTAAACAGAGTGAAGCTCTACTGGCTAAGGTCGAAATCTACCGCGTTGATTTCACAATCCATGAATGGCGAGCGCATTCCTTGTGTTAAATATTAACACCCACCTTCACACCTCACTGCTCCTTTTCCCTTGGTACTAGAATAGACACGTTAAGGAGCAAGGGGGTCCTCATCTAGTTTCTGGGAGGGACAAAAGCACCTTTAAAGGTGGGTCAATCCTATGAGTTTATTCTAATTAGGCAGGAGCTAGTATCAGAGGTAGCTGGCAGGACCCAAAGGGCACAGTGTTTAGCTTTTTTTTTTAAATCCTCACCTGAGGATTTTTCTTTCTATATTCAGTAAGAATGTGTGTGTGTGTGGGGGGGGGGGGGGGAGACACACACAAACGCACACACTGATTGGTTGCCTCCTACACGACCCTGACCAGGGCCAGGAACGAACCGCAACCGAGGTACTTGAATCCAACCCGAGACTCCTTGGTCCGCGCGCTGGCGCTCTGACCGCGGAGCCAAACCACCCAGAGCGGTATTTTAGCGTTAAAAGTTGGCCCTGAAACTCACTATGTGACCCTGAGCAGTCCTTCAACCTCTCAGTTCCTTCTTCCTCTATAAAACTGGAGTCATAAGTATTCCTAGCCTAACTCATAAAGTTGTGACTAGGTTTAAAATTAGATAATTAGGTACAGAGTTTATTGACACAATCTTTAATCCTCACAACAACCCTATACCAGATATAGAGTATTTTACCTATTGGATAGAAGAAATTGAGGCTTAGAGAATTTACATAGGCAAGCCCTTAAAGTCAGCAAGCGGCAGAACTAGAATTCCCAACCATTTCTGACTCCAAATGGAAAGGCTGACCGCCATCAGATGTGTTAAAACATATCCATCCGTCCCGAACCACTACGGTGTGATGACTGCAGAAACCGGCACCTTTTCTGGTCCTATCTTGCTCTTCACGCGAACATGTACCATGTCACGCATGGGTTTTGAGTTTCAGCCTTTGGAACCGTCTTGCCCCACAGGCGTGTGAACCCTACCAGCAATGCTTGCGCTCCCCAAGCGTCACAGTGAGAATCGCTCATACCGAACACGTCAGAATCGGAAACGCTTCCTTAAGTGGGGCCCCCAAATGGTCCCTAAACCAAGTCCCCAAGTTGCTTCAACATAACCCCATGACACAAGTGTCATTTTCAGGGAAAGGCCTAGTTTACAGCCCTCTCTCGATAGAGGGCTTTATTACTTCAGCGTGTGCAGGTCATCGGCTGTGCACCCCAGAGGTCCCCGCCCCAAGGGGACCCCGCGGGGCGCGCTTCCCGGGCCCGTCGTCGCCCTGGCCCCCTGGCGGGCGGGCCCCCCACCGCAAAGCCCTTTATTGAGGGTCTCCACCCGAGCAGGAAAGAGACGCCTAGGTGAGGGCGAGCTCTGCCCTCGGTCCGCTGGGGATGGAGACCCTCTGAGACCTCGGAGAGCTGGTAAGCAGGCACTGGCGCCCCCTTGGGGACTCGCCCCGAGGCCCCGGTCGAGCGGGCGTGGGAAGGAGGTGCAGAGGGCGGGCGCACGCTTCGCTCCGGCCCGGGGGGCCGAGGTCTCCACCTGCTCCGCGGAGCTGGTTCGCTCGAGGAACGGCAGCAGGGGGTGCGCGCGGGGGACTTGTCTCTAAGACGCGTGCGCGGGAGAGGAAGTGGGAGTGGTGCTTAAGATTGGACACTTTATAAGTTCAGATATTTCAAAGAGGGAAAATCTGGGAAAGTTCGCATTTTTTTAGAGGGCTGGGGCCGGGGACGGGAAGTGCCCGCACAGTCACTTATCACTTAACATTGCCACTTCCTGCCGCACTGCTGGCGATGCGGGCTCAGGCAGTGACAAAATACCACAACGAACAAGCGATGCTGTCGACCTCGCATTTTATCCTTGCACGACAAGAAGTGATAAAATGAGTTCCTGGAAAATCAAGGAGAACGCAGTTCTACCTTAGAAGTTCAACTTCACTGAACATTTTATTAGGGATGTTCTGGCATTCTAGAAATGCTTAAAAAAATTATTTGAACATTAAAAAATATTCACGTGAAAGCCATTCAGCTGTGGCCGGTGTGGCTAAGTGGGTTGGGCATCAGCAGGTGCACAGAAAAGTTGCCGGGTCCATTCGGCCTCAGGGCGCATGCCCAGGTTGCGGGCTCAGTCCCGGGCAGGGGGCGTGCAGGAGGCGGCCGAGGGATGCTTCACTCTCACATCAGTGTTTCTCTCTCTTTACCTTTCCAGTCCTCTCTTTCTAAAAATCAATAAAAAATCTTAAGAAAGAAAGAAAACTATTCATTAGGTGTGTTGCAATCATTTCAGGCAAAGTGGACAGAGTATCGGAGTCATTATTACAAAAAGCACCTGTGTTGGGAAATTAGGCTGTAATAATTCACCATGGCTTATGGCTTGCCAAGAAAGAACACAGTGAAAAACATTCTGCGGGGCAGTTATAACGTGTAAGTACTTTTACTAGAGTAAGCATTGACTTGGGCTGGGGAGTGTCCTTGCTAAAATAAAAATACTGGACACCCTAATGTTCCCTTATGAGATAGATACTAGACTGTACGAGGCATTTTCGGTGTCTGGATACTTTCATTTTTTTTAAAAGGCAACTGCTTTTACAGGAATTTATAAATGATCTCACTTGATCTTTATAACAAGAACACTATCAAATGAGAAAACCGAGGTTCAGAAAAATGGTTTGCTCAAAGACAGTCATAGTAAAGGGACAGAAGGGTTAGAAGTCTCCTTTCTCTAAAGCAACACTTTCTGCTATTGCCCACCACCTTAGAGTCCCTCTGTAGACAGTGCAAAGCTGTCTGAAAACGCCATGACACCAGGTGTATCTTAACAAGAGCACCAAATTAGCTGGTCCGAAGGGTCACTTTTTCATCCTGTATACTTCGGGAGGCAAAGCCAAATAATCTCTGCAAAATAATCTCTATCATTCTCACAAGAAAGTATTTTATATCACACTATTTATAAGAGCAGCTAAATTAAGGGGAACAGAATGGTAGTAGCACTTGGTGGAGTTCATTTGCTAAGGCAACTCCGCACCTTGGCCTTTTTTGGTTAAGTGTTTTTATTTTTTATTTTTTAAAATATTTTTATTTTTTACTTTATTGATTTTAAGTGAGAGAAAGGGAGATGGAGAGAGAGAGAAACATCGATGAGAGAGAGCATTGATTGGCCGCCTCCTGCATGCCCCCCACTGGGGTTTGGGCCCACAACCTGGGCATGTGTCCTGACCAGGAATTGAACCGGCAACCTCTTGGTGCATGGGTCGACACTCAACCACTGAGCCACACCAGCAGGGCTGGTTAAGTGTTTTTAGACGATTATTTAAAAAAACAACAATATAAAAACTTACAGCAAAGAAGCATTTGAAAGGAAAATAAAAATGCTATTTCTCATATCCCCATTCCCACTCCACATCCCAGTCCCACTCAGGGGTAAAAGGTTTTATAATTTTCTAGAGTTTATCTCTTATACAAGATGCACATACACATATACACACATGTTTTTACACATGGGATTTATCTCTTATACAAGAAGCACATACACATATACACACATATTTTTACACATGGGATTATATTGAACTTTGCTCCCTACCCCACTATACCTTGTAAAGCCTAGTGATTAAGAGCACAGATTCTAAAGTCTGACTTTCCTTGTTCAAATTCCAACTCATGAGCAATAGCCTTGTGACCTCTGTTCTTGTTTCTTCATCTGTAAAACGATGGTAATAATAGCACCTGCCCACTTAATAGGATTACTGTGATAATTAAATGAGTTCATATGTGTAAACTGATTTAAACAATGCCTAGCATGTAGTAAGTGCTAGATACATATTAGCTGATTTATTGCTCATTTTTCCAAATCAACATATAAGGACAAACTTTATTCTTTCATTACGTGTATACCACATTTCATGTTTGTTAACCACGCTCTCTGATAGGGCTTTTTTTGGGGGTGGGGTGGGGGAGGGACAAATGCTTCAGTGAGCAATTTGTAAATATCTTAGTGCGCTTGTTCAAATGCATCTATAATAATTGTAGACGTCAAGTCACTCCTTAAAGTTGGATGGTAAAGTAGCAAGGAAGCTGGAGGGGAAACCAAAGGGTGGCAGGTGTGCAACACCCTCACTCTTCCCCAGTCTTCCCCCTTCCTCACACACAGGATCGCACGCTGACTGTAGATGGGAAGCATCTCATGGCTGGTAGCTGATATTTTACATTTCCTAATTAGAATGCATAAAGCAATTCATTGAAAGTTCACAGTGATTATTCTAAGTACTGTAGTTCAGGATTTCATCTCCTCAAGTTTTCTAAGGGTTCTCTTAGTACTAGTGCTTCTAAATAAGTGGACCTAGGCTAAGTACCAGCTCTGATTCTTAATTAATTAACTGGTGAGTCTCAATTTCCTTGTCTGCCTATATAGTAGCTGTAAGGATTAGAATAAGATCACACACTCAAGGCACCCTGCTCAGCGCGTGACTATTTCCTTTGTTCCTGTGACCATATTTCTGATCAGCCATAAAAGACTACATCCTTCTAAAAGACATGGGAAGATTGGATTGACTCCAGGGAGACTGTCTTGTGAATAAAAATTCCTGTCATTAGAGTTTATGGTAACTTTTCAATATATCTTTACCTTAGTGCATAATAAGGCTCCTTCTCCTGGCTAGATTTGCAACTCTGGAAAATCCTGAATCCAACCCCCTCCCCCTGTAAACCAAGATGTGTAGTGAAAAACAGAACTGAGAATTAATTAGATGTCTTCTGTGTATCCCATAGCAGATGCTTAATAAATATTTGTTGAGTGAATTAATGAATTTTTGCTCCAGACAGCAACCTTGGGATCTAGCACTGCTTACAGAGAGCTGGTATACAAAACTAGCCAGGATCAAGTTTCCTTTCTTAGAAGAAATTACATTTGGTGGTCCTGTATACCTCAAAAAGTGTAATAAAATGAATAATGATGGTCTGCTCCCTTCTGCAGAAGGTATGTTCCATAAGAACTACTTTTTAATAAATTGCAAATGTTATGTCTTTTACTTATTATCAGATAAATGTTTAAATATGTTCATTTGCATCCGTACTCCCTATATGTGTAGCCTCTTCTTCTTGTTTAGTATTCAAGAATGTGAATTTTGCTGTGTGATAAATATTCACTTTTGACTAAATTATACCTGGTGAAACATGTCAGTTTGGATTGCTTCGTGTATTTTATTTTTTAGACGTCAAACTTGAAAGGGAATATGAACTGAAGCGCCTGAATAACCTGAAATGTCAGGAAAATGCAGCTGAGGAAATTCAGTTTGCCCTAAGGGAAAAGCAAGGTGGTCTGAGAAGACCTCTTCCACCTAAGTGACACTCGCTTCGTATCACTCTGTCCTCTGTGCTTCCTGCTCTGAAGGGGACGAAGGGCGCATCCTCCCACCGTGGGAAGTTCCGTGCAGGCATCTGAATGCCGCTGTGGATGGGCCAGCTCTGGTGGGTTAGGGAGCAGCTCTGACGTCTAGGTCCCTGTCACCCACGCGTTCCATTGTATCGCAAGCAACAGCACGGTAAGTAGATGGAAAAAATGCATCTGGAATGGAGTCATTTGTCCTGTGCATTTTGATTCTTGTAAATTTGCACCAAGGGAAGAGCAAACTCCTTGTCAGAGACATTATTTTGAAGAATTAAAAATTTGCATCTATGAGCCCTGGCCGGCTTGGCTGAGCGGTTGGAGTATTGGCCTGCGGACCAGAGGGTCCTGGGTTCGGTTCCCGCTAGGGGCACGTACCAAAAAAAAAAAAATTAAAATTTGTATCTATGAGATCCTAAGGAGGCACTGAAAAGAAGGAGAGAGGAAAATTATTTTTTATTTTTAATTTAATTTTTTTTCCCCAAATCTTTATTGTTGGATGTAAAATGTATTACAGATGTTCCACATTTTTCCCCCATTGACCCCCTCCTCCCCACTCCCACCCTCCCCCCACCTTTTCCCACACTATTGTCTGTGTCCATTGGTTATGCATATAAGTTCTTTGGTTTATTTCTTCCCACCCCCCCAACCCCTTTCCCTTTGAGGTTTGTCAGTCTAGCAATGAATTTGTGCTTCTTAATCCCTTCACCTTTTTCACCTATTCCCCCAACCCCCCTCCCAACTGGCAACCAACAAAATATTTTCTGTATCTATGAGAATGTTTCTGTTCTTCCTGTTCGTTTTGTTTGTAGATTCCATTGTTGATAGATATGTATTCATTGCCATTTTGTTTGTTCATACATTTTATCTTTTTCTTCAAAAAGACCCTTCATCATTTCATATAATAACGGTTTGGTAGTGATGAACTCCTTTAACTTTTTCTTGTCTGGGAAAGTCTTTATATGGCCCTCGATTCTAAATGACAGCTTTGCAGGATAGAGTAATTTTGGTTGTAGGTTCTTGGTTTTCATCACTCTGAATATTTCTTGCCACTCCCTTCTGGCCTGCAAAGTTTCTTTTGAGAAATCAGCTGACAGCCTAATGGGTACTCCCTTGTAGGTAACTAGCTGCCTTTCTTTTGCTGCTTTTAAGATTCTCTCTTTGTCTTGAACCTTTTGCATTTTTATGATGATGTGTCTTGGTGTGTGCCTCTCGGGGTTCATCTTGTTTGGGACTCTCTGTGCTTCCTGGACTTGTATGTCTGTTTCCTTCACCAAGTTAGGAAAGTTTTCTGCCATTATTGTTTCAAACAGGTTTTCGATTTCTTGTTCTCTCTCTTCTCCTTCGGGCACCCCCAAGATGCGAATGTTGGCACGCTTGAAGTTGTCCCAGAGGCTCCTTACACTATCCTCATTTTTTTGGATTCTTTTTTCTTTTTGCTGTTCTGATTGGGGATTTTTTGCTTCCTTATATTCCAAACCAATGGTTTGCTCCTTGGATTTACGTACTCTATTATTGAAGCTGTGTAAATTATTCTTTATTTCAGTTAATGCCTCCTTTAATTCTAACTGTGTATCCATGATTTCTAACTGGTCCTTTTTTATGCTCTTGAGGCCCTCCCTAAGTTCACTGAGGTTCTCACTAAGTTCATTGAGCATCCTTATAAGCAGTATTTTGAACTCAGTATCTGTTAGGTTGCTTATCTCCCTTTTGCTTAGTTCTTTCATTGGGGTTTTGTTCTGTTCTTTCATTTGGGACCTGTTTCTTTGTCTCCTCATTTTGGCTGCCTCCCTGTGTTTGTTTCTGTGTATTACTTAATGAGAGGTATGGGGCTCGCTGAGACCCGGTGCTGCTCATTTGAAAGAATTTAGGAAAAACCTGAAGCAGGATCCAAGACCGGCCAATCCTATGGTTAAGCAAGTGGCGACGGCTTGGGTGGGCTTGAAAATTGTGTGGGGCGGGGCAGGGCCTCAGGGAGTCAGCAGGGCGGGGCTACCAGTGTGAGCCAGGTTGCTAGAGTCTCAGATATGGCTTCTGTCTGCCGCCCCCGGGAAGGGCTCACCAAAGGAACAAAGGCCTCTGACAGCACGTTTGTCCCCGAGGAAGCCCCCTCTCCAGCGCTCGCTCCAGTGCCAAACAGTTCAGTTCTTCCCTGTATGTCTCTGGTGCCCCTCGAGCTGCCTCCCCTACAAGCTTAGAGGGAGAGAGTCCGATAAGTCCGTGCGCGGGCCCTTTAAGGAGCTGCCTGGGGCTCCAGCCGCCTCAGCCTCCCTGAGCCTCAGCTCCCGCTGGTTTTTCCAGCCAGAAGTTATGGGGATTCTCTTCCTGGCACTGGAACCCTGAGCGGGGCACCTGGTGTGGGACGGGGACCCCTCAGTCCTCAGGAAGGACCTTCCCATCCGTGGGAGCCTCCTGATTTTTATCCGCCACACGTGGGTGTGGGACCAGCCCGTCTCGTGGCCGCGCCGCCGCCCCCCCTCCCCCCGCCGCCCCTCCTACCTGTCTGGATGTAGCTGCTTTTTTTTTCTTAGTTCCGTAGTTGTAGGACTTCCATTCAGCTTGATTTCAGGCGGTTTTGAATGATGGTTGTTCTGTAGTTTAGTTGTAACTTTGATGTGGTTGTGGGAGGACGCGATACCGCGTTTACCTACGCCACCATCTTGACCGGAAGTCCGAAAATTATTTTTTAAAAAAATATTTTTATTGCCGGGCTGGTGTGGCTCACCGTGTGCATGGGTCGACGCACTAAGAGGTTGCTGGTTGGATTCCCAGTCAGGGCACATGCCCAGGTTGTGGGCCCGATCCCCAGTGTGGGGCATGCAGGAGGCAGCCAATTGATGTTCTCTTTCACTGATGTTTTTATCTTTCTCCCACTCCCTTTCTCTCTAAGAAAAAATCAATAAAGAAAAGAAAATTTTAAAAATATTGTTACTGATTTTTAGAGAGAGAGAAAGGGAGAGGGAGACACAGAGAGAGAAAGAAACATTGATAAGAGATGGCAACATCAGTTGGCTGCCTCCTGCAGGCCCCCCACCCAAGATTGAGCCCACAATCCAGGCATGGTGCAAGGGACGATGCCCAAGCAACTGAGCTACGCTGGCTGGGGTGAGAAATTGTTTTAAAAATGATAAACTGAAAACCATTATTGGTTAAGAAAAATTGTAGATTTCTACTTGGTAGCTCCTCAGTTTCCAATTTTCAGCGAAACCTCCTTTATTATTCCCATGTAGTACTTTAAAGTAGCAAGTAGAACTTGTTTAGGTTTTGTGCTCTTAAAAAATTGTGTTATTTCTTCAGCCTAATTTCAGAGCGTATCTCTGGGGTGCCTTGGAGCATGTGGAAGACACATGTGAAACTGGCAGGAACACACAAAGACCTTACTATGAGGAAAACCCTTATTTGTACAGAGTAGCTGGAGAATGAGGAATGATTAACTGGAAAGTATTAGATTTGCATGAACCTATTTTCCTAGAATTTAAACTCAGTAAAGCACACTTGACTGTGAGAGCTATATTTAAGCACAATTTAGTGTTTGTTAGATGATTTAGTAGGCATTTGAGGTGCTTCTGGTGTCTTAACCTCATCACGAAAGGCATTGTGGCAGAGTGGTTAAGAGCACATGCGTTAGACCTGGCTGTCTGGTTTCTTGTGTTAGCACTTCAGGGCCTAACTCATGTGGGCACTCAATATACATTTATTGATTGTTGATTGAAAATTTCCATATGAGCCCTGGCCGGTTTGGCTCAGCAGTTAGAGCGTCGGCCTGCGGTCCAGAGAGACCCGGGTTCGGTTCCCGCTAAGGGCACGTACCTCGGTTGCAGTTTGTCCCCGGCCCTGGTTGGTCGTGCAGGTGGCAGCCACTCGATGTGTCCCTTCACGTCGATGTTTCTCTCTCTCTCTCCCTTCCTCTCTCTCCCTCCCACTCTATCTGTACAAGAAATGGAAAAATATCCTCGGGTGAGGATAAAAAAAAAAAAAAGAAAATTTCCATATGGTCAAAAGTTCAAAATAGAAAGTACACAAGGAAATGGAAGAAAGAACAGAAACAAAATGCTATCTTCTATATAAGGAAGTCAGTAGATTATGCCTAAAAATGAAAAACCAAGAAGTAGCAATGCTGAAGTGTTAGAGACCTGGAGGTGAATCACAAAACAGGTGAAAGTAGTTGCCTCTGTAGAGTGAAAATGAGTGGCGGGGGTACACAGAATTACTGCTTTTAAAAACAAATCTTCATTTTACCCTTTAATACACATTTACAAAGGATAATTTTTAAAAAGAAACAAAGTGTGCCCTGGCTGGTTTGGCTCAGCGGTTGGAGCGTCAGACTGCGGTCCAGAGAGACCCGGGTTGGGTTCCCCCTAAGGGCGCGTACCTCGGTTGCAGTTTGTCCCCAGTCCTGGTTGGGTCCTGAGGGAGGCAGCCACTCGATGTGTCCCTTTTGGGTTGATGTTTCTCTCTCTTCCTCTCTCTTCCTCCCACTCTATCTGAACAAAAAATGGAAAAATGTCCTCAGGTGAGGATAAAAAAAAAAATCAATAAAAACATATTTTTAAAAAAAGAACACACGGTTTCTGTAGGATGTCAGCTCCCAAGAGGAAGAAGGGAGGAAGGAATCAAGCCACACCTGCTCGCTTTCTCCTTGCAGACGCATCAATCAGCTCACTTCCCTTGGCGTGGAGCGAACAAGGGGGCACGAGGAGGCCAGGGGTGTAATGCTGTTGTAACACTCTTCACGTGGAAGGAATCACCCACACTAGAGAAGTGTTCCTTCTCAACACCTTCATGTGACGACACACCAGATATAAAGACCCTCTTGAGACAGAATAGGAAAAGAGATGGACTGAGTGAAGATGAAGTTCAGGAGGTAAGATTGAAGGACATTTCTTTTCATTGCCTCATCTGACTCACTCTGGACCCCTGGACTTTTGTTTGTATATTTGGACGTTTCCAACTCTGGGTGG